GTTATTTTAGAGAATGTCTCTTTATAAACAAAATGATATATGTATAGTATTCTATTCTTTCATGGTTCTCTCATCGTAATAAACCTGATTATTTTCCGTTTCAGAATATCCAATGGAACAAAATCGGCACAGTAATTCTAGAAATACTTTATCGGAAGAAGAGCCACTTGAAGAAGTTGCGTATGAGTAATTTTTTGAATGCAGTGCAATCTTTCTACATATCGTGCTGAAATATCTGATTCTTTTAATGTGTTTTAGTTGAAGAACAATAAATCTGTCGATTCTTTGAGTATTTATTAAAAAAAATATTAATCTTTAGTAGCGGACGGATAGTGGGGAATATATGCCTATAGTCCTTTATGGCATAGTGTTATATCAGCTTGTTGACAACAAAAGTTTCAGAGCTACTGATTTCAATTTCAAAATTGCTTTCTATCTACTTGANATATTTTACAGTACACTGATGCATCTACAAACAGTTCTAAGAAAGAAGTCTCTGAAAGCAAATTCCCTAATTTAACCGTTGATCTGACCTGAAGGATAGACCGAATTGAAAATCTTGGAGTCTATTTTGATACACAAACAAATTTCAATCCCCATCTAGATTATTTAATAAATTCCTGCAGCAAGACCTTGGGATTCTTCTGCAGAATATACAAAGACTTCAACAACGACGCAGCAATCCAATCTATTTACTATGCATTTGTTTACAGAAACTTAATTTCGGTTGTGTCATATGGAGCCCACATTATAATACAGATAAATTACGATTAGAAAGACTTCAGAACAGATCTGTAAGGTTTTTGCACTTCAAAATAACGAAGACTTATGCAACACTTGTCATTAGCGAAATTCGATCTCACTACAAATACAGCTTCTAGAACAAATAAGAATAATAACCGACTTGGTTTTTATTTATACAACTTTAACAAACTGTTATGACTGAAATTCATCAAACAGGTCTACATCAATTTAAGAAACGTCAATATCCTATAATGCTTATTATCATATAATGCTTCTTATCCTATAATAAGCATTATTGGATATTGACATACTTGAGTAGTGAGTAAACTCACTTATAACATCGCTCCTCTTCCGAAAAAGAAAGTTTGACGTAGTTTACAGAACTAATAGTAATTCGAGACAAAAATCCGGCAATTATCAACATCTCGATTGCTCACAATTGTTTCACCCTTAAAACTAAAAGGAAGCGAACTGATCTGTGTTCCACCAAAGTGTGTTCCACCATCTGTGTTCCCACCAAACTCACTAGGAGTTGACGATTATTTTGGAAGCTGTCCTAGACCGTAAATGCATCAAAATTCTCCCATGTCCAGAATATGTGTTTGTGTTGTTGCAGCCGGTAAGGACATTGATTGCTCAGTATGATAATTGTGTATCATCGGAAAATAATTATAAAGTTGACGTAAATGGCTATACAGATTGTATGATCGTTGTCCTGCATATCTGTTTCGATACGTTGATAATGAGATCATAATGTAATTAGTGTATACTGTTTTGGATATGTTTCTGTTTGTATTCCAAAGTTGATAAATGAATGAAATAAATACATAAGTGGTACCTATATCTTGAAACATCTTTGGTTGGTTCAATAGTAGACTATCATTAAGAAATTTTGATAAAACTTAAATATCAACTTTAATTTGGACAGATTTTCGAAGATAGAGGATATTTCAGTGCTGATTTGATCGTATCTTCAAAGATGCATGGTATTCCCGTGATTGGAATCGCACGTTAAAAGGTAAGACTTCGTTAATCCTCAGCTCGCACAAGTTTCGACTTTTGAGGGTTGTCGTTTATAAAGAAGCGACAGCAAGTTAACGGAAAAACAGATTTCAACTAATTGATTTTCATGCTTAGTTGTTCGGGTTGTTAGCGAGATGAAAAATAAAAAAAAAACACTTTCAATAGTGGGTAATAATTCAAAAATTAGATATTCATACCTAGAACAATCACAAACGGTACTTATTCACGGCATCATATTTGATAAAACTCTCGGAATACTAACACAACTGAAGGTTTCAAATGTAATATTAAAAAGTGATTAATAATTATTGTTTTCGAATCAACTAATGAAGTAATATTGCAACGGATATAATCAGAAGTAGTTTAATCTTCATTATGGGCGGAGATGCAGAATTTGTTGTATACCAAGGTACTCGAGAAAGAAAAAGGTTTCTTTAAAAAAGTTGTTGGGAAAAATTAGGAATATAAAGACTTTAATATTAGTGGAGATTTTTCCCAGCACCAAACCATTATTTCAACACCTCGACACGTGTTTCGATCACCAAGTGATCACCTTCATCACCACAGCAAAGATTTCAAACAGTTCATCACAAGTATATAAAGACTTGTTGAACTCCACAAATTCAACAAGTGTTTGTTGGTCGTCCAGCAGAGAACCCGTGTAATGACGTAGCCCGAATACGGGACTTCCAAAATATACAATCCCGTCGTAGTCACCACCATCTACGGGTTTATAGCTGGGTCACCACTGAAATGATACGTCATTAACTGTCTATCAACCCTTGAAAACCTTATCGCTATTGCCGTGTTTGTTTTAATTGAATCAAACTTGGCAGCTGCTGTCACCAGATGCGGATTTCTCCATATCAAATTCTAAATAGTGAGGCAATTCCGAAAGAGGCTTGAATTCGGCCACCTGCACGAAGAAGAGGTTTTTAGTTGCAGTGAGAAAGAAAGAATTCGCACTTCTTTCCAAGAGGTACATTTCGAAATAAATGTCGGCTCGAAACCTTAAAACTTCTATATTCAATAATAAAGAAAATTAAGGAAAATGGCCAATAATTCCTGACCACTAAATAACTATGACTCAATTATCAGGTCCAATCTATATACTGGTTTCTTTTACCTAACTCCTTCCCAAAATTCATAAAATGATTAGTACACATGTGAATTCAACTCACCGCTGCCTATTCCTAGCTCGTCCCTGAAAATTATCCAAAACAATATCGTATCAGAAACTCCACCTCAAATTACAACTCGTTTTTACACAGGTTCGGCCTATTGAATTATCATCTGATTTAATTTTCGTACTAAACTGCTCGATTTCCGCTCGAACCTTACACACTTCTTTTTTCCTACGTATTTATTTCCTTATACCCTTCTTGTAGATTTTGAGTAGTTCATACAAGTGAGGTGGCTTATTGTGGTGCGATGTTAGCGATGATCTCTCCTTTTCCGAAAAATAGACTGAGTGTTTTTTCTAAGTCTGGTACAACCTCCCTTCAATTGATGCAGTAGGGTCCCGTACGATCTTGGTGTATTGTCCCTTCTGAAGAACATCTTCAATCTTCTGTTCGTAGAGATCAATATCCATCACAACAGTGGCATTTCTCTTATCTGCAAGTAGGGTCTTGATGATGTTATCTTTACGTAGACCGTTCAGAGATCTACGTTTTTCAGTGCTGATGTTACAAGTTGGAACTGGTTCTCGATCCAGCTGTTCTCTGATTTCGCATCTAAATTCTTCTGCCTCGGTCTGATCAATAAGAGAACTGGTGGAATCTACTGCAGTAATTATCCCCAAAGTGAGCACATATGGCGAAGTTTAGACCTTTTCTCAACAAGGATTTCTCTATGTCCGTGAGTGAGCGAGAATCAAGTTGATGACGTTGGTGGCTTCGTAGCTGTCCTATTTTCGGTCTGCATTTGGGCTTTGTTTCCTCACCAACTTTCCCCACTTCCTGCTGTGGGTATTCTCCATGTCTTAGCGGATCTTCAAGCATGTGCTTTCAATCTTGGCAAATATTGATCCATGATCCTCTTCCGAAGTCTACCTTTTTTATTTCTTTAAATCTGTATGTGGCATCCTGCATCAGAGTTGACCTCTTCCAATGGTGGCGTGTTCCAATATGCATTTAGCTCCCACTCCTGGGACTGCCGATTTCATCAGAAAACCTTTAGGATGATGTTGTTGTCTCTCGCTCTGCACAAGAGACTGAGGTGAATTCCTTGTTTCTTTCTCGGTAAGCTTGTCTTTTCATATCCTTGGTATGAGTCGCTGGTTCCAGGTCCGTACCGGGTGTTCAACGTTTGTTTGAAGGTGATAGGTTTGAAGGTAGAAATAAAAATGTTTGAAAGTAGAAATAAAAGTTGTGTGATTATTATTATGGATACCAGAAAGAAAGTATCCTGCTATTACAGAACTGTTTACTGAAAGTTTTCCATTTTGAAAAAGAAGCTGCAACTTCTGATATTCCGTATGCCAGATTTTAGAACAGTGTTGTATTATCAAAGATGTTAGTTGGGGACGGGTTTTATAAAAGTAGAGTTCTAGTTTTGCTTTATTCGTGTGAATACTTCCTAGATGGATGTTAGAACCTCGATTTTTATAAAAACAGATGCTATATACTCGTGTGAATGTAGACTGTGGAATAAAGTCTACGCACGAGTATCTGATATTCGGTTGTAATCGTACCTTGAAGAAATTCGGTTGGACTAATTGGTAACCTACACATCACAAGCATTCAAAATTTTGTCCAAATGAATTTAATCTTCAGGAATGTATATCCCAACTAAATTGGTACCCTCGAACAGGCAAAGTTGTTTTCAAAAATTTTCTACAATATTTGTGCATCTGTATGAATAAACATCAAATTTCACGAAATGAGTTTCTCATACTTATATTGAAAACTATTCAGTATAATCTGTTATAAATCATAGGTATGATGGTCTAAGTGGGAGTGTTCTATTCCTTCCTTCATTATATACTTAATGGATAGTATTCTGTGTCCTCGAATTTTCACCATTAATTAAATTCGACATATAATGCATACTGAGCACTGATACTTCAAATCATTGCAAGTTATTTGTGCCATTTTCCTGTTCTCAAAAACTGTGAAGGTAATGCACGCTCCAAAATGAAAAAAATTCATGGAAGGAATCCGATGAAAATCCCAAGTGATAGTGATTACGTTAATTATTTTCAGATATCACCTCAGGAATTCCTACTAATTATTTGTTTGAAAATAATATGCGGATTATACGGCTACTGCTCATTTCAATCAGTGTGTTCAAATCGTCGCAACAAGAAAATAGGCAATTGACTAAGAAATTTCTCAATTCTACACTCACTATCACCCCTCCTCCTAATGCCGGATTGAATATCGTGAGTATCAATTGTTTGTTCATCTCAAAAAGTTAATAAAAGTTCGGTTTGATGAATATAATATACAGGGCGTTCCAATGAGAAACGGATGTGAAATTTAAACGAACACGTCACTTTTTATTTCTAGGGGGACTAATTCTGATATGGAATTCATACCCGAAACTTCACGCCCCTGACATCAGCAACTACTTCCCCTATTTTCTTCAAAGGCATGGGGGTCGAGTGATACATTATTCGAAAGGCCTTTTGTCCCTCTATTACTTCTGTAATTTTTGTCGAAATTGGTTCATTCGTTATTGAGAAATTAGATGTTGAACGTTTTATCTAAGAAATAAAAATTCGCTGTCGCTCATTTTATTGAAGAAATCAACTAAAGTAATATCAATGGCAACACAACACAACAGATAAAGTGTTCAAAATGACCTTCATCTAGTTCCATATAATAATACAGTCTACTTTCGAAACCGTTCCTTACATTATTGAAGATATCACAGATCTTCTAGATTTGTAGAGTTTATTAATTAGTAGTAAACATTCTCAAATAATAATAATAATAATAACTTTATTCACAACGTATACAGATTAGAGTACAATTAAAACAAAATATGTGAACAAAGTGGTTTGGCGATAAGAGCAGAGCTCTTGTTTCGCAAGAAGTTATGAAGATTATGTAAGTACATAAATATTTGTATAAAAGTAAGTATGGCCTTCATGGAGAAGAAACCACAAAACATTTCAATAAATTTGTGAATTTGGTGTTATAGTTAAACAAATTATATTTCGGCTTGAGCTAAAATAGGCCGATTAAATACTAGACAAATAAAAAGTAAGAAAAATAGATAAAACCTTAGACAAATATTACACGTTCTATAAGAATAAAATAACGATGTACAAATAGATAAAATCTTAGGCAATATGGATAAGATTATGCTACTTACAATACAATATGATGCAACTTTGGGATGAATTTGACTAAAACTAACTTATTTCACTCTAACAGATTTTTTTAAATTGTCTATCTTTTTCGAGAATGTGTTTTCTTATTTGTTTTTTGAATATTGGTTTGAAATAAGAATGTTTCATTTTGTGAGGTACGGTATTATATAATTTAGTTGCCATTAAAGAATATGATCTTTGTGAAATTGGCTTTTTAACAGTAGGATAGGTTAGTTGGTCGCGATGTCGTGTGTTATAGTTGTGGTTTCGTGATAATGCTTTATTTTTGCGAAAATGATACTTCACGTTTGTACAATAGTAATAATATAATTGTCTCATATCCATAACTTCACACTCTTTATACAGGAGATCTGACGAGAAACGTGAATTTCTAGACATGATCAACTTCATGAATCTCCTTTGTAATACCTCTAACGGATTGAGGTGTACACGCAGAGCTGATCCCCATGCTGTTATACCATATCTCTACTTGGGAACTATGTAATTGATACTATGAACCATTTGTTTAAGTAATTGACTGTAAGAGATATGAATCAATTCCAACTATTTCAAATTTCCTCATTTCATGGTTAATAATCCTAACAGTACATGCCACTTCTTCTTGTCGGAGTCTAGATTGCAATTTAGAGTTATTGCCTTAAATCCCTCTTTCTTTCGAATTATTCTATAATATGCTTAGTTTGTGTTTGCTAATTCTGAGAGACAAAGCCACACAAATGGTCTACCATACCTCTTTGTGAGGTAATTTTTCAAGGAACGGAAGCATTGTTTGCAGTTTTTTCATTGTATATTTTATATGAGAGTCCCACCTTAAGTTTCTATCTATGTAGACGCCCAAGTATTTGATTTCTCTCAGGGAATCTATTTTTATTTTTTTTCCTTGTTCGCCGACATCAAGAGTTTCAAATGGACAATCATTGGATAGATTGCAGCTAAAAGGAAGAAAATTAGTTTTTTCCAGATTCACTGTCAGGAGTCTTTGGTCAAACCATTTTTTGAGCAAGTGTAAATCTGTTTCTATGTTCTTTTTCAAATCAAGCCAAGTGTCTGCCTCACAGAATATCGCAGTATCGTTTGCGTATCCAATTATTTTCCCAACGCTGTCCAAATTGAATAATTCATTTAGATATAAATTGAAAAGCAGAGGACCCAGTACCGTACCTTGTGGGACTCCACATACTATTTGTTTTTGATAGCTAATTGTATCTGCAATTCGCACAACTAGCATTCTATTTCGAACACAGCTTTCAAAAAGCGTTTGGCAGTTCCCTCTGATACCATTATTTTCTAAAGTTTGTAGGAGTAGTTGATGATCGACAGTATCGAAAGCCTTCGTTAGATCTATAAATAGACATGAAGAAGGTCTTTCTTTCTCCAAGGATTTGTGTATCAATTCTGTCAGTTCAAGAATCGCGTCTTCGGTTGAGGTTTTTTCTTTGAAGCCAAATTGTCTATCTGAAATCAATTCGTATTTGGTTATAAATGAGTTTATTCTTTTATTTAGCAATTTTTCGAAAATGTTTGACGGATGGGTGATAAGCGAGATTGGTCTATAGTTTGTGATTTCAGTTTTATCTCTTTTTTCATGGATAGGAGTCACTACTGCAGTTCTGAATGAGTCACACACCAAGTAATATTGATTTATTAATAATAAAAACTAAAGGATCTAGTACATAATGTGATATTGATTTTAGCAGTTCTGCTTTAATTTCGTCTTTTCTTACCGCCTTTTTGTTTCTAAGGTCGCAGATTAAAGCGTTTACCTCATTTTTATCAGTTAGGCTCAAGACAAAAGAGTTTGGTAAAATGTTTGGATGAAAAACGAGGTTATTATTTTTGACTTTTTCATTTGCCAATTTCTTTCCAATATCTACGAAATTATCGTTGAATTCATTGGCTATGTCTCTGTTGTTTGTTAGGAGTACTCCCTGATCATTTTTTATTGGTCCAATTGTGCTTGATTTAGGTTTAGTGCCGGTGATTTCTTTCATAATATTCCATAGTTGTTTGGTATCTTGTTTTTTGTATTCCATTTTGTTCTATTTGAGACTAGTTTTGAATAAACAATTTTTTTCGTTAATCATTTTCAGTAAAGAATTTGTTAACCATGGTACAACTTTGGTATTTTTCCTAAATCTTTTTTTTCAGATTGGTACAATTATTCAAAATGATCAAAATTGTAGTGATGAAGTTATTCAGTGCTATATTTGGATCTTGGATCAGGTATACGTTTTCCCATGGACGACACTGCTAGTTTTTTCTGCGCTGGTAGATTTTGTTGAATCTAGTTGTCGCAGAACAAAAAGTAGATTGTTGCCCACTGTCACTTCTTCACGAATTATTATTCAGTCATCCCTGTTCACTGTGTTCTAACATAGTTTTTTCTACTGAAGATAGAATAGAAATTGTTGCAACCTATTATCGAAATAATGAATGTCCTAAAGCTGCTGCAAGAATTCATAATACGAATCATCCAGACCACAACGTGAGCCATCAATACGTTAAACATTTAATGGATAAGTTTCGAACTTCAGGTTCTGTTCACAGCAGAAAACATGAAATACTCGTATCCCATCCTGCCAGAAATGAAGGTGTTGAAATTGCAGTTTTATGACATGTACAAATGGATAATCGACAATCTATCAGACAAGTAGCTAGAGCGTCTGATGTATCAGCTACTAGTAACTTTCGGATTTTGAAAGCCTACAAACAGGAATTAAACAAAGATGATCCTGATCGTCGACTTCAGTTTTGTTAGGTGTTCAGCGAGATCGGCAGAAGGGGTCCAGTGGAGTGGCCAGCTAGATCACCTGATCTCACACCGATGAACTTCTTTCTGTGGGTACACCTGAAGTCGAAAGTGTACTCTACAAAGCCTACAAATCTAGAAGACCTGCGACAGATAATTGTTCGGGAATGCTGATTGCTGAGTAGGGTCAGTTATCAACTGCCTCAAAGCCCTTTCAGCTAACACACGTTGTTGTCTATGGTAGTTTACCTTCCGTTCCTGAGTCAGTTGAATTTTGTACTGGTGCAGGCCCAAGTCACGATGCAAAATTCGCCAAGTTGTAGTCTGTGTGAATCCGAGTTCTTGTGAGCGACGCGAAATCGAAAGCCTTGTATTCTCACGCACACTCTCACAGACAGAGGCAGAGGCAGAGAAAAACTCTTTATTCCTTAATCTTAAAAAATGCCACTCTATTACATTTACAAGAAACAAAAATATTTACCACCACCAATATCACATAACTCAACAACAACTAAAGAAGAAATCTGAAGTCAAGGACTTAGGAGTATTATATGCTGTTGGATTTCTGATCAGGACTTGTCACGACTTCCGTAATACTAACTCTGTTCGTACACTTTACATGGCTTATGTAAATAGTCAGCTGAGTTCTGCTTCAGTTATTTGGAACCTCCTGTATATCTTGTATATTGAAAGGCTTGACTCTATACAAAGCAAATTCGTCACCTATATCAATAGAAAATTCTTTAATAATCTCACTCTGATATCTTTGGCGGATAGACGCCAAATAGCTGATATTAAGTTCCTATATAAAACAATAAATTGTTTGGACAGCAGTTCTATATTGGACCAACTTTTGATAAATGTACCTCTGTATTATACCAGAGGATTATATTCATTCCAAATAAATCAAAGTAAAACTAATAACTATTTGAATTCTCCTCTAAATAGGTGTTGTAAATCCTACAACTCCATATCCAAATCAATAGAAATTGATATCTTATCTAATTCCCTCGCAACCTTCACCACATATCTCAAACGTTCATTTTCATATCTAATTATTGTAATTTGAACTGAACTGCACAGTTCATAACACGATATTGCATATTATTTATAACAATCAAATCATTTATCGTTATTTTCACCTCATCATTTGTGAATACTCTTTTTGAGTTTGTCCCGTTTTGTATTCCACTGAAAATAAATAAATAAGTAAAAAATGAAATTTGACAGATTTGAATGATGTGAGTAAGTGATATAGGGTTTACAAAAAATGCGAATGATATTCTCATGTGGTCAACCTCGAGGATGGACTTATTGAAATGTAAAACGCAACTTATATACATGATGTACAAATATCAATCGTTTTCAGTACCAAGTTCTACAAAAATACGGATATCCTGTTGAAACCCATTCAGTAACTACGGAGGATGGCTACATTCTGAGGATGCACCGTATTCCAAGAGGTCGAAACGAGTATAAAAATGACAAATCCAAACCAGCTATACTTCTCATTCACGGAATGCTCAGTGGCTCTGCAGATTGGCTGCTTCTAGGCCCTGAAAGATCACTGGGATACCAACTTGCCGATGCCGGTTTCGACGTTTGGCTAGGAAATAATAGAGGTAACACCTGGTCCAGGAATCATGTGCGACTAGATCCAAATATCGATCTGAAACAGTTCTGGGATTTCAGGTAAAACTGATAAAGATTTCACTGAAAAGAAGACAAAAAAAATTGTGAGATATTTGTTTGTGTAGGAGTCAACATTATTTGAAGTTCTCTGGGTCTTCATTTTCCACAATCTGAGAGAAAAATAAATATAAATCTTAAGTGAATATTCAGAGTCACGATAGGATTTGAAAGCCGTCGTGGTTTGGAACTGTATCCTAACGTTTTTCCAGCACGAGGGGCTGGCTGTAAGCTGTATGTATGTTGACACGGGTAGCCCGCCTTTCTAGTTGGTGCGTTGTTATTGGCCGAAGTGTTATTACCTGTTACATTGCGTTGTACTGCTGCCACCTGAGCATCTTTTAGTATGGGATTCCAAATCCGGTTAGGCGTTATCACCTCCTCTTTTCTGTTGTAGTTTTCTGAGTTTATGGATTTCTATGGCTTCCTGTACAAGCCAACTGTGGTATCCATGATCGGGTGCAAGTAGTTCCACATCTTCAAACAGTATCGTATGATCTCCTTCACTAAACGCGTGTTCCGCTACTGCCGATGTTTCTATTTGACCTAATCTACAGTTTCTCCGATGCTCATTCAGCCTTGTACCCATGGATCTTTTGGTGGTACCGATATAAACTTTGCGGCAGGTCATGGTATACGGTATACCCCCGCAGCTAGTAGTAGATCCCAATTGTCATTCGCAGATCTAAGGCTTTGCTGTATTTTCCTGGTGGGCTTGAACACTGTTTTTATGTTACGCTTCCTTAGGATTTTTTCGATTCTATTTGTAACCCTAGGGATGTACGGTAGGAACACACGTGCACACATTTGAGTTTCCTCCCTATTTTGACTTGTAGACGTCTTCATGATGATGTTGATTTTATAAGACGGTTCGTATTATCATCATCATTGTCGGAAACCACTCAGAAGACCATCTTAAGAACAGAAGCCGTCCCGGCTCTATGGTCTTCCGAAGATACACAAAGAAGTTCCGTTGAGACCCATAGTGAGTGCACCGAGTTCGCCTACGTATTACCTATCAAAACACCTCGCATCATTCCTCCAGCCTTACGTTCGAAAACAACCTCGTACGTCAAAGATTCAACAGACTTTGATATTCTGGTCAGTTTCGACGTTGTGTCCTAGTTCATCAATGTCCTGCTGGAAGATTGTTTCTTCCCTAGTGATATTATCGGACTCGTCAAGGCCTGCCTCACGGAAAGTTACTTCCAATGGAGAGGAGATTTCTATGAGCAATTAGACGGCGTAGCAATCGGAAGTTCACTCAGCCCAATGATAGCTAACTTTTTCATGGAGAAATTTGAGAAGGCAATCGACGCTTTTGATTTCAAACCAACCATCTGACTACGATACGTGGATGACACCTTCGTTATCTGGAGACATGAGAGGGACAGACTAAACCTATTTCTAGACCACATAAATGCTCAACACCCTAGCATCAAATTCACCATGGAGACTGAACAAGAACAACGAATAGTTTTTCTAGATGTACTCGTCGAAAGGCGTGGCACAAGACTGACACATAAAGTGTACCGAAAACCGACACACACGGACAGATATCTGCATGCACTTTCAAACCATCATCCATTATCCTGACGGAACGTGGCCCGTAGAATATGTGAACCGGAACACCTACAAGAAGAATTGAAACATCTTCAAGTGGCTTTGAAATCGAATGAATAGAGTCTAACCGAGGTCAACCAGGCCATGAAACTGAAAACGTCTACAGTCAAAATAGGGAGGAAACTCAAATCATTGGCCTTCCTGGTCCTCCATAAGCATTATATAAAAACAGTGTTCAAGCCCACCAGGAGAATACAGCAAAGCCTGAGATCTGCGAATGACAAAAGAGATCCACTATCAGCTGCGGGGGTATACCGTATACCATGCACCTGCGGAAAAGCTTATATCGGTACCACCAGAAGATCCATGGGTACAAGGCTGAATGAACATCGGAAAAACTGTTGATACGTGAAATACAATTTTGGGTAAATATTCGGAATGTTGCTTGCAGAATATTTAAAAAAATAGTTTGTTTCTACTCACGTGAAATCATGACTAGGACACGATTCTGAAGTCAAATGATAATTCAGAATGTACAGCCTTGATCATGCTCGATAATACAATACTAACGATTCTAAAATCAAGTGATGTTTGTGAAGACACGCTCCAACTTTTCCACTCTTACCTGACAGATCGATGGTGAAGCGTGAAACTGGGAGATGAAATTTATGTTGCTAGAAATGCGTCATCTGGTGTACCACAGGGTTCTGTCTTAGGGCCGCTTCTATTCTAAATATACACAAGCCAGTTTGAGAAGTTTTTCAGTCGTTGTAAAATACACATGTACGCTGATGAAATTCAACTTTACCAAAATTTTGTCATAGACGGTCTGAATGACGCAGCAGTGACGGCGAATAATGACCTGGTAAATATTGCTGAATGGGAAAAAATTTATAGCCTTGGTATTCGGTAACAAATACAATCAGACAGTCGCAAAACGTAATCTCCACATAATTATGAATAATGAATTTCTGATAATGCAATAAATCTAGGCTTGATCTTAGATGACTCTTTGAGATTTCAGGAGAATGACAAATGTAATATACAGACATCGAAAAGTTTCATGTGAAACTTTGGTTTGTCACAAATCAACTATTGTTCCTCTATCTACAGTTTTTGTATTGATCAAGACTCTGCTAGTTGAGTACAACGCGTGCAGAACTCCTGTATTAGACTCATATATAACATAAGAAAATATATGATATGAAGGTCATATTCCACCTGTTTTTGCACCAAAAAACGATCGGGATACACATGATTTTATTAAAAATTCCATCTTTTCACATTGTTACACCTTGCTTCAAACTTTTTTTCGTACAAATTTATTTATTCCATGAAAAAAATGTATGCAGGTACCAAGAAGAGGTATTCATGATATGAATAAAGATACAATTGTAAGTATAGTTTGATCTTCCTCTTGAAGATGATCACTTGCTGATCGTGTCGAGGTTTTAAAATAACGGTTTGATGTGGGGAAAAAACTCCAGTAATACCCATAGATTGTAATTCATTAAGATTAGTTAGACAAGTTAACAACAACAGGCATCTAGTTGCCTATGAGAGCTTAGTGACAAGTGAACATAATAATATTATGAATAACGATGGTGGACCAATACTTAATAGTTTACTATAAAGCTTGTTGAAATAATATTTTCAGTTAGACATTTGAAACGCAGGTACCTAGCAGAGGCATCTTTGTTATAAATAAGACCAATACTGTATGTAGGCTTAGTTTAGTCGTATGCTTGAAGATCATCACTTGGTGACTGAAAGGGGTGAAAAGGTGTCATACATCTCTCAACTTTTTTCTTACCACTTTTTCAAGAATTCCTCAAACTTCTGCTCGTGTTATGTAAGTTGCATTTCTTTCTGATAAATCGCTGTTATGGTTGCCATTTGCCATTCTTCTATCGCTCCATTCATCATTGTCTGCGATTTCTTTCTCTTATAAGTGTGTTGAACTTTTCTCATATTACTTTCAGCTTCGAAGACTGTGGTCGTTACGACCTCCCAGCGAAAATAGACTTCATCATCGAGAAAACTGGACAGAAGAAAATTTTTTTCATTGGTCACTCGCAGGGCACTACCGAGTTTTTTGCAATGGCCGCTTTGAGGCCGGACTACAACAACAAAATTGCGTTGATGACAGCTTTCGCTCCAGTGGCGTACTTGGAAAATTTGATTTCGCCCTTGCTAAAATTAGCTGCACGACATTTGAACATATTGACGGTAAGATCATCAATTATGGGGAATGTAAGAGAAGCAGGGAATCGCTGCACACACAGACACAAATTTTTTAAAGATGATTGTGTCTACTTAGAGCCTTTTGTACTGAATTCTCTCGTTCTCTATTCCTGTAGCTGTAAATACCAGATACGAGTATACAGGGTATTTCAAATTTGATCCTCACCATTGGGATCTCGGAAACTAAGAGAGATACGAAAATGGTTAAATTGGGGCAAAGTTGCGCATTTACCTGACTAACAATATGCCGTTGAAGAAGTTCTGAATTTCCCAGTATATTCAGAAATATCCGGACAAAACAAAAATCTCGGAAAATGGTTTTTACTTTTTTCTGGCTTCATTTTTTGAAGGATTCGAAAATAAATTTCACTGCCACATTTCCACTTTTTCCCTGCTAAATAATGGTGTTTTCAGATTTGCTATCCGACGTTTCGTCTTCCGGCCACCATCATCAACTTTATTTTCTCTTATGGGCGCTACATTGGATTCTTTCTGTTTTGAATAGAATCAGATTTAACCTTCTCGAAAAATTGGAGATCATGATAGGCTTTGACTTTGATGTTTCTAAATTTGACTTTCAATTTGTTACACTCAATGACATTTTATTATTGCATTGAATATTTTGCGAAAAATGGCTTTCACGAATGAAGAAAAAAGATATATGATACAAATTTATTACACAATAAATTACGATAGAAACAGTGTTAGAACATCGGAAATGTATTTAAACTTGTATCCCGAAAGACGACAACCACATCGAAGTATGTTCAAGTTATTGGATCAAATTGTCACCGAGTTTGGTTCATTTGAAAAGCCAAGAAAAAAATACGGAGACAGAATGGACCAGGAATCTAAAGAAAATTTGATAAATGAGGTATGTATGAGGTAAGTTAGACATTTTGTCCTTTTCAATAAAAATTAATAAGTTGCATATAAACATGAACCCGGGAAAATCTACACGTCAAATTTTCTTCGAAATGAATATTTGTCATACAAGTGCTTGGAGACATCTCAAAAAGCGGATTAAAATGTTACAAAATACAGTTCCAAGAAATTCGATTTAGTTCGATTTAGTTCGATTTAGTATAAACGTGTGGGTAGGAATTTACAAAGATAGAAATTTGGGTCCTCATTTATTTGAAAGAATTCTGAATGGAGAAACCTATCACCAGTTTTCAATGTCGATATTTGAAGACTATTTCGATGATCTACCTTTGGCTAATTATAACAACATCTGACATGATGGTGCTCCACCGCATGGTGAGGTGGCCAGCAAGGTCTCCAGACTTAAGTGTTATGGATACATTCTTATGGGGTACACTGAAAAATGAGTTTATGGTCAGAGGGAATATCAAAATACTGAGGACCTTCAACACAGCATTGTTAGAGAGTTCGGAAGTTTGAGGAGGAGGAAAATCAATCGTGCAGTGAATAATATTCGAAGAAGGGCACAGTTGTATTATCATGAACAGGGCCAGCATGTTGCTGTGATTTACTTTTGTCTTCACATTTTAGTTAATTATTGTTATTTGTTCAAGGTTCTGATTTCATTGAAGAGAAAAAATGTCTAATTTACCTCATATACACCTCATTTGTCAAATTTTTATTATTGATTCTGTCTCCATCATCGTCTCTGTCATTGGCTTTCATTGGCAAACGAACCAAACTCGTTGAAATTTTGATTCAATGATTTGAACATAGTTTGATTAGGTTGTCGTCTTTCGGGATACAAGTTTAAATACATTTCCGATATCCTAACACTGTTTCTATCGTATTTGTGATAAATTTGTATCACATCTCTTTTTTCTTCATTCATGAAAGACATTTTTCGCCAAAAATTTAATGGCTTGTACAATAACAAAATATCATTGAGTATAACAAATTGAAAGTCAAATTTGGAAACATCAAAGTCAACGCCTATTATGATAAGAATTAATTTTCTTCAATTTCTACAATTTTTCGAGGAAGGATGATAACTTACGATATATCATTGAAAAGGTGAAATCTGATTTTATTCAAAACAGAAAGAATCCAATGTAGCGCCCATAAGAAAAAATAAAGTGGATGATGGTGGCCGGAAGACGAAACGTCGGATGGTAAATCTGAAAACACCATTATATAGCAGGGAAAAAGTGGCAATGTGAAAGTGCGATTTATTTTCGAATCCTTCGAAAAATAAAGCCAGAAAAAAATTAAAACCATTTTCCGAAATTTCTGTTTTTACCGGATATACTCGGAAGTTCAGAACTTTCTCCACGGCATATTGTTAGTCAGGTAAATGCGCAACTTTGCTCCAAATTAACCATCTTCGTATCTCTCATAGTTTCCGAGATCCTAATGGTGAGGATCGAATTTGAAACACCCTGTTTATTGTACATCAGAACGGTTCTTGTTGACAGCATCTGCAAGTATGTAAACTATTACAGATATGTTTTTAAACAATGAAATTACAAAACATGGTCAATGGGCTTGAACATTTTCACTTCTGAGTAGGTTGAAAATAACAAAGAAATGGAAAAAATCATAAAATATATCTACAGTAGGTATTTTCCCTCAGTTCTGAAATCCTCAATCTCTTCACATTTATTTGATAATTTATTCCACATTTCAACCGAGTTGTGGATAGTGTAATCTTTGACTGAATTGGTTGTGGGGATGGAGAGCGTCAGACTATTTTGACGAGTACTATAGCAAATATCGTTTCTTTGATAATATGGTCTACTCTCATTGGATACGAAAACTTCTCTAATACAAAAATTGATGCAAGAGTTTGTATCTAACGTTCATACAACAAAACACTAGCGATTTCGATACGTTTTGCCCTCCCTACCAGTGTATTATCAACCCCTCTTTTTTGTTGCGGATGATGATTAGAGTGCTTATTCAAATATCGGTACGCATGGTTTGGTTTTCTGTTTACTTCATGCCCAAGTCTGCCACTTCCCCATCTTCTTTTTCTTTTTTGGGTTTCAAGAGTTCAAGTATTCCAGAAATGTTGCCAATTTCTCTTTGCCGTGACCCCAAACCACAAAGGTATCATCAACATATTATAGCCAGCAAGACGATCAGACCAGCGAATGTTCTAGAGCTCGTCGTTCGAATTGTCCCATGTAGAAGTTGGCAACTACTGGACTCAGAAGACTTCCAATTGTAACTTATTTTTCCTGCTCATAAAATTCTTCATCTTACTGGAAGTATGTTGGTGTCGAGCAATGGTCAAATAAGGCGGTGATGTCTGAAGGGAAAAAGCCGCTGATGAGTTAGAAGGTTTCACTAATTTTTGTGAATAGATATACAACAACTCACTTACACGTCTTTAGGATTCAGTTTCAAATTGCGAATCATCTCAATAAGTTTTTCCACTAGTAGTTATAGTAGAGGATATAGTACAGGAAAATCCTTAAGGCGCTTTTAGGGCGGTGCCTGTGCGAAAGTAGTGATTCACATTGGATTTGAATCGCTGTAGAGTAAATCCATTTGAAAAAACATTACCAGGAAGTTTATTTCACACAAACGCTGTTCTCCAAATGAAAGAGTTCTTGAACAGTGAAGTTCGAGGCTTACTGAGTTGGACCTCCAAACAATGAGCAGCCACAGTCCGTCGCGTATTTCTGATGTGTATCGATCTTGGTGGAATCAAATGTGCCAAGTCACTTGAACACTTCTGGTGAAACTATCATAGATGCAGTGTTTACAGTTTACTGGTTCAGAACAGTGTTCCAATCTTTTGAGAAGAAGCCTTTGCAATTCCAGCATGAATATCCAACATGATTGTGCCAAGACATATCCATTATTACATCTGGTTTGAAGAAAACCGATGCCTGTGTTTTTGTGACATTGAATTAAACCTGGTTAGTTTCACCCCAATTCGAAATTACTTCTAAATAATCATTAAGATATTCAACCTCCTGCTGCCGGTGAAGATGTGCATGTACATCCGCATCCAATGTCCTGGAATCCACATGAAATGACGAGACAAGTGTGCTATCATCAGCAAAGCAATATATTGGATTCTTGGATTTTTCCAATAAGTCTTGGATACACAATAAAAAATGGGTTGGAGACAATATGGATCCCTGGGGAACACCAGCGTTGATGAGATATCCATCGAAGGCCACTTGCAGGAAAAGATCTTTCAGAAAGCTGGAGAGGCATACACAAAAATGGTCTGATAAGCCATAGCATCGAAGTTTGGCCAGCAAATCCTCATGTCACCGTGTGTGGCATGTGCTCGTGAAATATCATGAAATATCAAGAAATATCAAGCGCAACAGCTCTTGACTCTCCATGTTTCTCGATTGCGTTTTTCCAAATGTGGGTAACATATGATAGAAGATCGCATGTTGATCATTGTTTTCGAAAGCCATATTGATGATTGCTCAAGATGTTGAAGCCCTCCAAATATTTAAGGATATGGTGGTTCACGGCTTTTCCCATGTTTTTTGATATCAGTGATAGTAAAGCGACTGGTTATTTGGATGAGTTTTTTTGCTCTTTTTGGAAATAGGCTTAACGCGAGCAATCTTCCAAAAATAAGAAAAGACCCCTTCCTTGAAGGATGAAAAGTCTGCAAAATACTGGTGAGCACTTCTTAAGTACGATCACGGACACTTCATCAGGACCAGACACCTTGTTGATATTGAACTGTTTCAAAATTCGCCTAACTAGACACTATCTAAAAGTAGTTTTCGGCATTGTAGTTTCTAGTGTGGGAATAGTGGATGATTTCTTTCCCAGAAAATCGACTATGGAGTGGGATGCAAATTGTTCAGCTAGTAGATTTGCTTTTTCTATGGCTGTTGTTGCAATTGAACCATCCGGTTGTGTTAATGGTGGAATTGTGGATTCTATAAAATTATGATTAACAGTTATAGCTACCGACCAGAAGGATCTAGACCCATTGGGAGTGGCAAGTATTTTATCCCTAATTCTCTGATTATTAAGTTCTTTGCTTTCATTTATCCTAAGTTTGCAGCTGTTGCGAGCATTCACAGACCTAGTTCGGTTTTCAGAACTGAGATTTTTGCGCCACGGTAGGCGAGATTTTTGAAGGCGACAGCTTGCTCACAATTTTTGTTGAAGCAAGGTGTGCCTTGAAAAAAGAGGTCGTTTCATTGAAAAATGAATATATGCGTCCATGGATGATACAATAACATTCGTGACTTCTGAAGCACAAGTTGATGGATTTTTAGACAAGTACTTGGCGATCTCATACGTCAGAGAATCTACAGTACTAACGATCGACCGATCGATCTCAGTGGGATATCCGGCTTATGAATTTTTGGTAGCCCAAAACTAATGAATCTTGAAAATAGCGCTATTCTTTCTCTCAGATGAGAATGAGCTTGTGCAGTCTGCCACCATCAGCAGCCAATTGCTGAACAATTCAGATACTCCTTCAAAATTTCTCAAAACCGCAATATGTGTTACACTCCACAATAGGTTCCACAGGCGTATTCAATACTTATATTCTCGCAGAATACAAAACTTTAGTGAGGTCGTGTTCATCCATTTCGAGGATGAAACTCACTATTCTTCCCAATTTGATAAAATAAAAAAGTATATCAAGTGATTGAGGTCATATTATCGTCAATTAGAATATCCTTCGGTACTAGAAAATCCAATTACAAAAATGCTTGGAGAACAAAAAAACATCCACATAAAAATATTATCATAACCTATGAAAGAACTAGTAGTAGGGGAGAGTGTTCCACAATCAGATACAAAATAGGTTTTGCTGAATATTAACCTTATTTATTGAACAAACGAAAATATGATTGTCACTAATACAAATTAGGGCTGTGCATAAGGTTCTATGGTAGAACATACATGATAAACAAAAAAAATAATTCAAAAAATGTTTGTTTTAAAATGAAAGGACAGTTGTCTGATTGTGGAACATACATGTTCCACATCCAGACACGGCATGTTCCACAATAAGACAAAAGTTTTAGTACTGTTTTAACGATCTTCTAAGGCTGAAAAACTAACTTAAAACATGATTGTTGCCGTTTTGTTGTTTCCACGTGTGATGGTTTTAGTTACACCATCTTAATGTTTTCCAAGTATACCAAAGACTCGTCTTCAATTTCGGGGTGAATGAAGGTGTTATCATACTCAACGGACTTTCTCAGAAATTTAACCTCACATTCCTTATCTCTTTTACATAATACTTCAGCTATGTAATAATTTTTTTTCTTTTCGTCTGTAAATTCTATCAAAATAAAATCGGCAACTTCTGGCTCTTTATTGAGCTTGTCTAGAAGAAGTGGTGGATCGATTTCTACAAAATCAATCTACATCATCAGATTCTTCAGTTACAAGCATCGCCGCATTCTCATTTTCTTCGTCTGTTGAGTCTTCATCGAATCCTACTTTTCTTTTCATGAAATTTTTCTTCTTCAAGCTTTTTTCTTTCTCTCTCTATCTGTTTAGTTTTCAGGGCAATCTTTTCTGGAGTGTCGGTGGCGATATTACTTTTAGCTTTTTTTCTCTTCTTTCTCTGATTCGTTCGTTCTTCAGCTTTTGGGTATCCTTTGAATTCTTGCGGACTTAGGAAAGTTTCTGTGTTTTGATTTTGTGTGGGAGTTGTGTGTAAATTAACTGATGCTGAAAGTGAGGAGACTGACATAATATTTTCTTCAATACAGCTTGATGTTGATGGTTGATATGTGGTCGGGCTTCTTCATTGTTTTGATCCACATTCCTATCAGTTACGCTACTAATTGCAAAGTCGTCATCTGTGAATATGAATTTATCGAAAGAATAAGTCCCAATTTTTCGAAATCCGGGTTTTATATTAGCTGGCATCATCGATTTTTCTAATGCATAATTAACACAGCCAGCTATATCAAAAATAGAAACGGGTATCCCAGGGTGTTCTAAAAGTCAATTTTGTAAGGCAGTATTGTAGAATGATTTGAACGAAAAAACACAGAGACATCTAACGGTTGCATCTGTTGGAAGTATGCGGTGGTAAGGTCAAAATGATCACTCCATTTGCCTTTGCTAGATTTATTCCTTCTATCGTCAGATGACTCTCGTGATTGTCAAGAATCAGGAGGAAAAGGTTTTCTTTTGTGCTGGACGTATGTTCAATGAAGAGCCTCACAACGCTTGGAAACAATTCACGAGTCATCCATCCATCCACGAATTATGTTCCACAATCAGACAGCGTCTGATTATGGAACACAGATGCTATCTGAAGGTGGAACTCAAACAGTAATACAAAATTAAATTCAACTGTGAACTCCATACATAACATACAAAAGTAAACTCGCTCATAAAGTGTCAACAAAATAGCCCAAAATCTGATCAACAGATTGTTTTTGTACTACTAGTTCCAAAAGAAAAATTAAGGCTTATAATATCAAATCGAGGATAGAAAAAACTTACCTAGGAAAACAAGTTTTTTGTTGAAAAATGCTCAAATCCAAAAGAATAGCGTTACAACTTTGTTTACCAAAACTGCGTGTGTAACCCTACTATCCGAACGAAAAACATCGAACTCGCGGCTGGAGTTTTAAAATTACATGCTTTGTCTGATTGTGAAACATGTCTGATCGTGGAACATTCTTCTCTATACTAAAAAATATCAAAAATAGGTGATGATTGATTGTTGACACGGATGGTTTTTTTCTTTTTCATTCCATTTATGATTTTTTTAGGCGCTTGTTAAGTATTTGAACATTCACGAAGTGTTGGGACATTCAAAGCTAATCACACAGTTAGTAATATTTTGGTGTTCCCAGGGATCTCCTTATCAAGAGGTATGCGCGAACATTCTGTTCCTGATGTTTGGATTCAACCATGCCGAAATGGAAATGGTGAGTTAATGAAAAATAAAGTGATGATATTGACATTTAGGTCACCCAGGCACTGTGAGAATAGATTTAAAAAAAAATATCGTGGTTGCAAGAGATGAAAAAAGAGCGCTACTTCATGTATAAATTGAAGATCGACAGCCACAACGTATGAATCCTGCAATTTTTATGTGATGTCATGTTATACTATAATACATTACAAGAAAGGCTTTAGTGTTTATCTCTCTTGGCAAAAAAGGTATGCCTCTTCGAATCAAGAAAATTCAAAGTTATATCTGAATCTGGAATGGATCCTAAACTGGATCTAGAAAACTGACGTTGTAATGCTGTTTCGTTATTTTTTCCCATTAAGTCCACAGTGGGTACCCATCGCAACCCGCAAGGACTTATTGTGGCTCACATGTTCAAATGAATATGTCTAACTCTAAAAAAACCTGATTCGGTGCCCAGCGGACCAACCATATGTAATGCTGTTTCGATATTTTTTCCGTATTTGAGACACCCTGTACCGGGAATCGTTTGCTGAAACGATACACACTCTGACATTTTACACCCTATAAACATTGATTTGCACCCTGAATGACATGTTTTATCTGCCTCATGTTTTTTCTTTAATCCGATTCGTGATTATGTCATTGTTTTTATAACAGCCACTCTTCCAAATTATCAGAACGCGCTTATCAACCACAACCCATACCTATTAACTATTCGCATTCACTTTCAATATACCCTGCTAGCGATGAGATTATACTCAGAAGCTACCATACCAAACGTCCCGCGTTCAACTCCTCAACAAAAAACTTTTTTTTATAACGTATTACCTACCCGCTTATTCTGAATTATTCCACAGATCAAATCTCCCGCCACTATGATGCACGCTCTGCGCGTGACAATGGTTCGCCGCTCGGTTGGATGCCTGACAACCTGTCTCGCGTGACAATTTAGTTGGATGCCTGGCTGGTGACGTCACTGTTCGTCACTGGTACACCACGGTTGGATGCCTGGCTGTCTGTCTCGCTGAATCGGGGCCGAGTCTACTCGGTGTACCACCGACTTTGGTTTCGATGTGAACTAGATATGATGATTATTTATTTTCATTCGTTGATTCTGATGTCTATTTTATTATCGGATTCAGACATGCAGGTTCAGAAGAATCATCATTTGTGCGAAAGCGTCTCCTCGCTTGCTCAGGGGGAGTTTATTTTCACTGCTGATGCAGATTCTGTACCTTCTGCACACGAATTTGCTGTAAGGCAGAGTTATAATGTATCTTGATATCGAAAACCTGATAAGCTGTTTACTGACTACACCACCCAGCTTCCGATATCAAGATTTGAAGAACTGAGAAGCTCTTGATGAGATATTGAAGGGTCAGTTGGAATGTTTAGTCAACACCCATCTTCTCTGTAAACTCTGGGGCGAATTCTTTGATTTCTTCATGGTTCATAGAGGAATACACGAATAGCTAGGAAAAATTAGTCCATCGCGACAGAGCTACACAATATCGTGACAAGGCTTTTTACGAGAAGATGCCAATCGATATCTGGAGTGTTTCGTTAATTGCACTGATCAGCTCAGGATCATACAAAATTTCGGCAAAGATTTACACACCTTGGGATGAGGCTGTCATTTAGGACTCTTACCTCCAAGGGTGACGCCTCACCAGGCATGAGTTATTGTAACTCCTCCGCTGCATAACGTACCTACTCCTTCAAGTAGTGAAGGAATGAACGATGTAAATCTAAAGAAATGAACTTTAAACGTTCAAGCCAGTCTCGGATATACCTACACAGTAGGTTGAATGGACTGATGCCTATCAGAAAACAACTACTCCCCTGGCTAATACCACGAAGGTATCAGTGCAGAAATCTTCACAGAAAATTTCCTGCATATGCAATTGGCAATACAACTGAAAAAGTCGACCTTCAATTTTGGAATGGGCACACTTGCAGACCGGTTTCGGGCTCATTAGCCACTCGTCAGTGTAAGATAGTGGCCATCATCGACCTAAAGTCAATGATATTCCATAATTGAAAATCGGAATTCTTTCAGAGTATTTCATTCCTCTTCCTAAGTTGAAGCGAACAACAAAATGTCACTCCATCTAGTGGACTAGGTACTAACCAGCTACATATCCGAAATTTGCCCGATTCCTCTGAATAAGGAAGAAAAACTTTCTTATTAGTAAGTGGGCTATGCTTACTGGCAGTAAGCAAATCTGAAGGAGTGAACTAAGCGTCAGTTCATTCAACCTACTGTGTAGGTATATCCGAGACTGGCTTGAACGTTTAAAAGCGTCAGTCCATTCAACCTACCTAGTTCATTTCTTTAGATTCCTTTACTGCCAGTATTCAAGCATAGCCCACTTACTAATAAGAAAATGAACGATTTGATGAAAATCCATTTTTGAATACAAACGTGACTCATTCGAAAGTGGCACTTTGTGAAAACGGGACTGCAGACCGGACCACGAATAATCAAGATGCTTCTGATGGAATGTTACAACGAAGCTTACACACGGTAACCTCTGCATTACGAACACATTATTTGAATCAAATCATCACATTTACTGTCTTTTCGTCTCATTTGTCTCTCAAATGAAATTCATGACATGAGATGATGTGAACCACTGCACATCATGCGATATATTTTTTCAGAATCTCATCCCCGTTCTTGGTTCAAATTCCCCTGCTGGAGCCTCAATCAAAATGATTATTCATTATGGACAGGGGGTCAACTCAGGTGAGGATTATTTTCGAAATAATATGACTTTTTGAGTCATCTGACGATAAAATTAATTTGGATGATTTTGTAATATGCAGGGTATTTCTAAATGTTATGTAGAGAGGTAGAAAATAGGATAGGTGATGAAGTTTGTAGTTAGCTTCATCGGTGAAGAGAACTTGAGTGAAGTTATAATTGACATCGAAAAGTCACGATTCAATTGAAGTGATTGCATTCTTTGAACATAGCAAAGATCATCCAACAAGATTTCTCAAACAACTCCGTTACTAACGTTCAGATTTTTAGCAATATTTCCATTTCCTCGGCTTGGTTTTTTTTAACAGTTAGAGGTTTTCCAATTTGGTCTGTATTTTTTGAAACAGTTCGGTTTCACCAAGGCAGCGATGGATACTTGCCATTATTCGACTATTATCAAACCTGAAACTAAAATAAAATACTAAGGTGTCGTTATAGACTCACACCTCAGATGGAATTCTCATATAGCTTCATCCTTTATGAATTCAAATGTCTCAAAAATATTTTAAAAACAACTCAACTCAAAACTCTCTATCATGCCCTTGTTGAAAGTCACTTATGCTATGGAATTGCCTGTTGGGGAGGAGCCTTTAACAGCACTATACATATGCTTCCGACTACCAACTCATTCCTACGATACCGTAAAAAAACAACCATATTGTTCCACGAGCGCATAAGTCGATTGTCCAGCGCTCTTATAATCATATAGCGCCGACATTATTTAATACGGTTTCATTTTTATCCAAACAAGACAAAAAATTGCTCATTTCATTGAAAATAAGGATATTTAGAACTTTTGTGATTTAACTGTGAAATGTCCAATATTTATTCTTTTTTAGATTGAAAGAATTTTATTATTTTAGTGTAATGAACAAAGATTTTTAAATTTTTCACTTTCAATTGGATTTGTTACTCAAAACAAGTGTTTCACTTATTGGGTGTCAACGGTATTTGTTTGCAACTCTGTGTTATTATTATATTTTTAAATTGAAANACAATCAAAGTATCAGCCAATTCCATCACATCTAATATTCGTTTTGATGAAATGGCATACCTAGTCAGTATCAATCAGTATGGCGGTTCTAGGTTAAGGTCACAACAAGCAACAATTGGATCATAAATCTTGTATCACAGAATCTTGTCTTTGACAGATTTTGTCCTAGATAACGTTGAATAGCTTTTATTTATCACACTTATTTTTTATTACTCCTACAAAATGATCAAACTTTGAAACAAGTCATTTAGATCTTTAGAAAATGTATGTTTCCCACCATCGAGTTCTCTTTGAGATGACGCAACAAGCACCAAAGCTTATGAAGAGTCAAAATTGTTGTTATTGTTTTTGAAGTCAATAAAAACGTTATAACCAGTGTAAGGATCAGTCCAAACCTCTAGGTAAATATTACTGGCTTGTCCATAACAATTCCAACTAGTCATAACCGTCATCTGCAGTTGATTCAGTAAGATGTACCACTGCGCCACCTGCCGACAAATTCCATCTAAAATGACCCTTCTGGTACTGACGAGGAGCTACTATTCCGAAACCCGACTAAATGCAATAAATTCCTGCTTTTCATAAATTGGAAGTTACTTGCGACGAATCTTCCAAATGGAAGACGTTGCACAGGTGATTGCTAGTTTTACTTCATCTTTCTGCGCGGCATTAGATGTGCCAGTTTGTTTTTCCGTCGAGTATCGAGTATGTTTTTGTGGAGTTGTTTCCGGACTTTTCATGCAAGTGGAGCAGTAGTACATTCTACTGAATCAACATAAAAATGAATATCTGATTACTTTCTATTCGTTTCAAAAAACAACTTCATTTCCATTTATATGTAGTTGAAAAATATTTTTCGTAATTTTTTTTTGTGAAAGTTATTCCTTTTAGGGAAATTCAAGCAATACGACTATGGAAGAACTTCAAATCTCATCAGATATGGTACTCCAGAAGCTCCAGACTTCAATTTGTCTGCAGTTACTACACCAGTGGCTTTATATTACGGAAACAATGACTTCATAACTGTAAAACAGGCGAGTTAAATCACTGATTTTTAATGTTATTTGAAAGAAAATTAATTGTTGCTTTTGTTTATTGTATGTATATTAGCTAAACCGGTAAATTTTCTACCTTCTTAGAATTGAATGTATGTTGAGTATCAGCTGATTTACATGAACTTTATTATTGTGTTCGTGAAGCCACATCAATACGACTAGTGTTACCAGGGCATTTTCATGCTAGGCATTGGATTTTGTGTAAGAAAAATAGATACATACTACATAAATGTAATTTTCACTTTTTAGTCATCCAATAATTATTATGGAAACATATAGTCATCAGTAGATTCCAACTCTCAAACAGTGGATCAGTAGCTCGAATTAAAAGATCTACTGCAAAAACAGTAGTCCTGGCAACAATAAATACGGCGCTCCTCTCGTGCGAGTTTTTCCTCATTCTAAATAACACTTATAGATATTGCTGACTTCGCTACTATTATGACATAACAATTGTTCATACACGCATTATGACAACTGCCATAACCTAACAAATCAAATGTTTATTTGATGTACAATTTCATTTTTGACTTTTTTAATATTTCAAATAGTTTTTCTACTTTCCGGGCAGATACAAATTTTCGACGTTCTTAAGTAATGAGTAGTTATAACTCACGTGATTTTGCAACTTTTACAATTAGATTTTCTTTTCCAGGATATAGACAGGCTTGCCAGTGAACTACCAAACGTGATAAAAAGTAAATTAGTTGAGTGCAGACTGTTCAATCACCTGGACTTTATATTTGCCAAAAATATCAATCAGTGGATCAATTATGAAGTTTTGAGTCATTTAAAGAAGTACAGTACAGGAGTATATGCTGCTGCTGGTTCAACTCTGAGAAGTTCTGGATCTGATTACTCATGATTATTATCATCTCATCGTACAAAAAATATACTGGTCAATAAATATTGTAGTATCACAAATGTTTTCTAATGTCATTAACAAATTGGTATATTTTATCACATATTAAAGGTTTGATAGCGCGTTAAAGATGTCTAGAGATTGAACTCTGAATACAATCGAATAATTTTTTTTCAGATTCCTTCGATGAAGTATTTCATGATTATGTTGATTATTTTGTAGCAATCACCATTCTGAACTCATGCAGTGTTTCCAAAAGTGACGGACGAATTGAGATGAATATTCGTTAGTATATTTCCTTGAGCAGTGGAGTAATAAATAATTTTCAAGTGCCTGATCCTAAGGCGTGAATGGTTTAATCGGTTGAGAAGTGAAAAATGTAGTATTTATTTTATACACTCACTCATGTTTTATGGTTTCATAAAGTCCAAAAAAAATTATAGTTGTATGTATACGCATTAGTGTCCGACCAAAAGTTCGGTTTCGGTTTCGGTCGAGTTTCGGCAAAAAAACGGGTTTCGGTTTAGTTTCGGTTTCGACGGCAAACCTGCCGAAACTACGACCGAAACCGAAACTGCATTCGGGAGTTCCCGCGCTGTGATCGGTCATGTTCGGCGTGTTGAATTTCATACAAATGACAAAGACATTTTGCCGCGTAAACAGGGGAAAAAAATTAAATGGAAAGGGGGTCTTGTGACACATCACTTTGAAGCTCCTGACGAATGCTTCACAACTCTAGAATATGAAGTCAATATCTTCACTTACCTTTACTTATCTTTTCTAGAAATATTCCTTTTTATCTGCCATATGGCAATTCCAACAACCCGATAAGGTTTGTTAAGTTATTTTTTGTATATAAAAACGACAAAAAATGTCAATAGGACAAAGAACAGCATTGTTCAGTTAGAATATTCTCTAAAACCGTCAACTGTCGTCCATTGGAAGAAAGTGAGACACGTAACTTTCACGAGACCGAAAGGATTTTCAATGAACGTTTTCCGAATCATCCTATCTGTAAAAAAATATTTGAGGAAACTTGTATCCAAATTCACAACTACCGATAGTGTACATAACAAAAAGCCCCCATGTCATCCGTCCATTCCGAAAGAACAGCAAGTGCAAATAATTGGTGAGATGGTAGTAAATCCTGAACAGTCTACTCATTCCGTAGCGAATGTTTGTGAGATGTCTCCTTCTACTGTGTGGAGACTTTTGAAGAGGAATAGGTATCATCCATACAAAATTAGGAATAGGTATCATCCATACAAAATTAAAATGGTACACCAATTAACTGAAGATGACTGTGACAGAATTCTGCGAAATCATGACGGAAACCATTGCAAGGCTTCCTACCTATCTCCACAATATTTGTTTTAGTGACGAATGAACATTTTCTAACGGCAATGTTCACGGACAAAATTGACGTTAGTGGAATGACACCAACCCTCACGTTTTGGAAACACATACCCAATATCCAGAAGAAATCAACGTTTGGACAGAAATATTGGAAAACCATATTGTAGGACCTCTATTCATTGATCAAAATTTAACATTTAACAGCGTAATGTTAGTTCCAAATAATTGGACGGTGGAAAAATATTCCTTAAACAACGAAAGTGGCAAAACCGATGTTGCAGCACCTGAATCTAATTCCATTTTCAAAGGAACGTTATTTAAACAAATATCAATAATTATGGGCTCATCTTATTTCTACCAAAGACACAAAACGGGTGAATTAGCATTTTGTTCACACTGTAAAGTCGCATCAGCCTGTGACATAGACTCTATATGAATCAGATAATTCAACCTTCCTCTTTGTTTTTCGCAAACAGAATTCAGATGACCTTTAATTGAGCATGTAATACAAGTGTACTCACGATACGGACAAACATTTGCTAAATGACCTTTTCCGCATCGAAAACACTTCACTTTAACACGAAACACTTCTCCACATCTTTCAGCTCTCCCTTCGACTGATGAATATCCCCTTTCTACACTGGGAGCCTCCTTGTGACATTCATTTCTTTGAACAATTCGATGAACATCGGCTTCAATAGGTTCACGTTTGATTTCGGTATCACACTGAAGCATTCCTACCTGAGCCGCTTCTTCTGACAAGGCCACTTGCAATGCATTCAAAAAAGTTACAGAACGTTTTTCGCTGAATAGCCGGTTTCTCACCTTGCCCGGATTATAACCTGTGATGAATTTACCACACAACTTCGTATCGAACGATTCACCAAAATCGCAATACATGGATAGCTTTTCCAACCGCGCTCTCCATTCTTGAGCACTTTTTGCTTCCTGCTTGGATGCTGAATAAAAACTTAATAAGGTTTGAAGCAATCCGTAGGCATCCTGGTGCAAGCCGTTCAACAGTATTGCACGCTTGATATTGTCCTCAGTAATATTATTCGCGATAAAATACTGCTGCAACCTTCTCCAATGCACAGAGACCAGTCATTAACAGCTGGGTTGAACTCCATTTGAATTCCTCTCGAAGCCATTCTCAACTCACTAGCACAAGACTATGTAAAATTGAATAAAAAAACCCTTGATGCTCTTCGCCAGACATGTAATGTTTAATGGAAACTACGGTTTGTTTGCAAAAACTACTTTATTGAAACTGTCGAGTGGCAGGAGCATGTACAATGAGAGGAGCGCCCTAGACTCGGTATTCAGGTGCGCACGCCGTTTGAACTAATAGTAAATAACATATACATGGTGTTTTAAGTATACTACCTTACAGGAACTTCATTTGAATATGCTGGAAACTACTATTGACCTTCTCATCACTGAAATCATCGAAGCGAATCCTAATGAATTCAATATGGATATTGTATTTCAACAAGATGGAGCACCACCACATTACTCCAGACAAGTAAGAAACTATTTGGATACTACTTTTCCCGGTCGTTGGATTGGCCGCCGAGGTCCTACAGAATGGCCAGCCCGTTCGCGAGATTTGATACCTTTGGACTTTTTTTATGGGGCTATTTGAAGCAATAGATGTACGAAACTGAACCGGCTTCAATATTGGATATACGGCAGAGAATAATAAATATTTGTAGATACATTGACGTTACTGTGTTCGAAAATGTTTGGCGTGAAATATCGGATAGGCTGTTCATATGTTATTATTCAAGGCAACCATTTCGAGCATCTTTTGAATTGACCTCAAGCTTATTACCTCATATTATATAGGGAGATATCGCCATTTATTTTATACATAAGCTCAATGAATAGGACAGAGAAACTTTTTCTGGAGGGTCCATCCACCTCACTATCTCTCTCTCTCTCACTCATTGAGCATTTGGATAAAATAAATGGCGATATCTCCGTAGTCATTAGAGATAACACCATCAAACCTGGTATCGTTGGATTCCTCATGATCTTCCCTAACCGTTCTTGTGATAATATATAGGATGTCCTATTTGAAATTGAAAAGTTGTTGTCATTTCCGGAAAAGCCGGAAGTTGAATTTGTTTTACAAGAATTTCAAAAAGTGCCATCTAGTGAGCATATTCAATGTTCCAAGTTTCAGAAATATCGCTAGAGAAATAAAGGAGAAAAAGTGAGTGTACCATAAGTCTCTGTCACACGGTATATCAATGTATTCAGGCAATTATTGAAAGTTCCGCCATTTTGTAGTACACACATCGGAAAAGTCTAGGGATATTTTTATAACATACTAAATATCATAAAAATAAATGCATGAGGTCGTTTAATTTCGAATAAATTGGTACACTCGACCATCCTGTAGATTCCTATGGGTTGAACAAAGCCTGCAAAAACGGTAACTAATCTTTTATCAAGTTTTTTACAAACTGTAGGTTTTCGGCTAAAATGAATAATCTGAAAGTGTCGAGTTTGTACATTCTATGCAGTTCTTGCTCAGCAATTAAACTGGAAATATTGTGCTTTAACATGGAACGCCATCACTTACCATTGGCTGAGATGAATAGAGCTGTAGGGCTTCTTCAAGGTGGCATGCGACAAAATGATGTAGCTCTTCGTTTGGAGGTCTCCCAAAGTGTTATCAGTCGATTGTGGCGGCGTTTCCGTGAAACTGGCGGTCCAGCCGAAAAACATCCAGGGCGAGGACGCGCTACAACTGCAGTTCAAGACCGATTTTTGGTCTTAACCGCAAGAAGACAACCGACAATCACAGCACCTGAGTTGGTTAACGTGTTGCAGCAGACGCACCAGGTAACCATTGGTCGTGATACTGTCAGAAATCGACTGCATGAAGCAGATCTCCACAACAGAAGGCCACTTAGATGTCCACCTTTCTCGAGAGGCAATCGCGGTAGAAGATTAGAGTGGTGTCAAGAACATCAAAACTGGGATGCAAATGATTGGGCCACAGTTTTGTTTACAGACGAATCCAGATTTGGATTTCATCCAGATTCTCGTCGAGTAAGACTGTGGAGACGACCTGGAAATAATGAACGTTTGAGACACGTCCAGGAAGTCCACACATACAGAGGTGGTACAGTAATGCTATGGGGCGGAATCATGATCGACGGCAGAACAGATCTCGTTTTTCCAAATCGCTCCCTCACAGCTCGACAGTACCTCGACACCATTCTTCTACCTATCGTCCGTCCGTTTGCTGGTGCTGTTGGTGAAAACTTCCACCTAATGCACGATAATGCTCGTCCACATGTCGCGCGTCTAGTGACTGACTGGCTCACCAACGAAGGAGTTGATGTATTGCCATGGCCAGCACAATCACCGGACCTGAATCCCATCGAGCATGTGTGGGACATGCTTCAACGAAGAATTACTCCGCATATGGGGAACATTCACACAACGTTTGAATTGAGAGAGCTTTTAATCGCTGAATGGGCAAATGTACCTCAACAAGACATTGACAATCTCATTTTGTCGATGCACGATAGGTGTAGGGCCGAAATAAACCAGCGTGGAGGCCATACTTTGTACTGATTCCAATTTTTTTTGTATTATGATTTTTTTTCGGGGTGCCAAAGAAGAGCCATATTTTTTTAAATTTTTGCTTATATGCGCCCTCAGTATTTTTGACCATTTAATAAATTTTGTTGTAAGTTACATTCGTTTAATAATCACCCGTCAACTTTTTTTTCCCTAAAGCGATCTAAAAAAAA